ATTTATTAGAATACTTGATTTATGGAAGCAATGGTCCTCAAGGATAAGGAATCTTTCATTTGTTTCCCCATTTTAAGCCTTTTATAAACGTGAGTTCTCGTCACATCTCGCCCTAAATGTATGATTAAAATGTATTATTATTTTAATATAATTTTACAAAAATATATTTTATTTAAAACTATTTTTACGAATATTATTGTTAACAAATCGTATTTTGATGAGACAATCTCGTTAAATGTCGTTGTTTGCCACATCATAAATCAGTCTGTTGAAGAAATAATTTTAAGTGATGTTGCTTGATCTATTAAAAAATTTATCGGGAGAAGAATTATATAAAATATATATTGTTTGGGAGTGTTGATTATCTTTTAAATTTGTAGGTAAGATGTGACTCTAGTACTGTGACATCTAGGAACGTGCTGCTAGGTACATAAAAAGTTAGAATGCGATCAAAGATTCAAATTGACTAGATGAAGTAAAGAGGCACGAAAAGAAAATTACATTTTAGATAATTTCAAATTTGGTTCTAATGGATATGAAATAGTTTCAATTTTAGTTTCTATAATTTCAAAATTTTCAATTTAATCTATGAATTAGGGTTGGTTTCAATTTGGTCCCTATAGTTTTAAATTTTTAATTATATCTCTGATTTAGTGTTTGCGATCTGCAATACCGTAAGTGTACGGTGTCAAATTTTAATATAAAGGATGAAAAAATAGTTGTTGTCTTGTAGGTTATTGACCCTAACTTTATTTCAATATATTAAAATTAAAAAGATTTTGACTATTCAAACTAAAAAGATAAAAAAGTAAAACTGCTTCTAGAGATTTTATTTCACGTAATTGAGTTATAAAATCATGTTAGTTAATTTAAAGTTATACCTTTTTTTTTCAAAATAATTTAAAAGTTATACTTTCTCGTGTTTTGAAGGAATTGCAATTATCTAACTATCCCTCGCAATAAAATTAGGCTTAATCTCTAATTTCAATTTCAATTTCAATTTGGAAATCTTAATATATTCAGGAATCACGATTGAGGAATAATTTGGAACTCTAAAGCAATAAATTATAAAATTAAATATGATCCATCAACCCTCTGCAGCACGTGATTAGTTTAACATGGTATCAAAAATACAATCGCACTAAGGTCTCATTTACATGAATCATCAAGGAATCGTAATGAAAACTTTCATTCCTTTCTGTTTATTAAATTTTAACAATTGAATCAAAGGTGGGTCGTCTCACCTCAAACTTTATAATCTCATTCATTATTATGTGAGCCCCACATATTTATTATAATTATTTCATAACTTTTGTCATTTCTCTCTCATATATTATTAGACCCATATAATTTTTAATTAATTTTTTTATAATTTTATAATTTCTTCTTGGTTTATACTTCCATTTGCTAGTGTATGAAATTTTATTATATATATTATAAATTTATATTAATTAATATCAATACATTTTTTAAAATAGAGATTATTATTTTTAAATATTAAATAATAAAATTTAATGATATGTTATATTAAATGATGATTATTCTAATAAAAAAGTATTTTATTTGATGTAACTTTATTTAAATTATTTATTATTTATTAATATTAAATAAATCGTTATAATAAGAAAATATTTACTATCAATAATATAGTATTAAATTAAATTAAATGTATTATTTTCATAATTAAAAAAAAGATTAACATGTATTTCTAATCTACAGTATATATATATAAAATGTGGTATGAGCAGAAACTTCTATATACCATTTTTGCCCTCTCATTATAACTCTCTTCACTTTTCTTTTGATGACAATTGTGTCATTTAAATACAAACTTTCTCTCTCTCAATTTATCTCTTCTCCCCGTCATGATCCCATCCATCTACATTCCCCTATTTTCTCTTACTAATCTTATCTCCCTTAATTATTCTTTCATTAACTTTTATCTTTCTCATTGATTTTTTTTTAACTCCTTTCATCTACCACATACCCTCTCCCAATCATTTCATCTTCCTAACCCCCTTCCAATTATCACATACCCTCTCCCAATCTTTTCATCTTCCTAATCCCCTTCCAATCCATATATAAATATGTGTCCTCTCTTTATCATGCCAACCAAAAATCAAAAGGTGGTGGATGGAACAAAGTGGAAAATTTTCCAAGTGGTGTGAAGGTATGAAGATTACTCTCTTGCTTTAGTAACGAAAACAACAATGCACATTGGGTGATCGAGAGGAGAATTGATAGTGAAGATAAACCAAATTTTCCACTGAGTTGATGGCATCAGTTCACTTTCCCCAAATTTATCATTGTTCAGATTGAAAGAAATTCTAGAGTACGATGTGTCGAGATGGTGGTCTATAGAATCGAGATAAAGCAAAATTCGATTATTGATCTCATAATTTGGATAATAAGAATGCTTATGAGTTTGATTTTTATTTATTTATTTTTTAAACTCATGCTTTTGATTTATATATGTGAAATGTTGTAATTATTTTTACAAAGTTATGGCAAACAAACAATTTTTATCCCTCTCAATATCAGGTTGGACCTTTTAGGATTTACTCTTTCTCTCACTCATACCTTTCTTTTTCATTCTAGAATGAGCAAACTTAATGATTTAACGTCACACAATTTAACAAAGATAAAATGTAATATAATAATTTATAATCAAGAAAATTAGAGGTAAATTAAGAACGTTCATTCATTAAAAAAAAAGAATTGCACGTTGGTGCTTTTTCATCTTTCTTACACTTCAAAATTGTACTTACTTTCCATGCTAATATTTCATCATCTTCTTTTATTACAATAATATCATACCTTGAATTTATATTTATATATAATCACTCTCTTTCTTTAAAATGATAATATTATAAACTTAAAAAATACTATTTATTTTACTTTAATTTAGAACTACAAGATTTTACGTGCAACGCACGTGTTTTTTACTAGTTAACTAAAAAGGGGAAAGGGGTATACTAGAATTATGATTACGATTCCATAAAATTTATGGCAAACAACATCAAATGAATAACACTCCTATTCCGATTTATTTCATTCCAATTTATTTTGATTCCAATTCATTCCCATTACAATTCTTGATGAGTAAATGGGGCCTAAAAGAAAGGTAGAGAGGAGGAAGAACCCGAAGCGAAGTCTGTTGGGATAATGGAGCCAAAGCAGATGACTCGCGTCCTGCAAGGAAAATGATTTTAAATAATACTACCAATTCCTACAAGGAGTATGATATTATAGTCTTATAAAGATTACAGTATTGTTTTCTTATAAGGTTTATGATATTTGACTCTTATAAATAGTTTCCTTTGGTTAAGGTTTCATTGGTACAAAATCTAAATAGAGGAGGCTTGAGTGGTTGTGGGCAATGTGTGAAAAGAAGACTGTAAACCGTGGATTTAGTGTAGGTGTTTTCAATTGTGTAATCCTAAGTAGCCATTGTTAAGGGTACTTTGAAGCAAGATAGTTATTGTATAGTGATAAATTGAGTGAGATCTCCATTGTAATATTCCGAATATAGTAGAACCTGCTCTTTTGCAGAAGACTAGACATAGTGTCAAGATTTGGGTGAACTAGTATAATCTTTGTGGTTGTTGAGATTTTCTATCACTATCTCTTATTTCTTTGTTATAAGAGGACCGATTGATCTATATTCTTTTCTCATCAATGTCATCTCGTTTTCGTCTTCTCCAATCTATCTTCTTTGCGTGCCTATGCACCCTCCAACTGATCTTATTTTGAATGGAGAAAATAAGTGTATTTATGATAGGTCACTTCTTAACATAATCAAATTAAGAATGATTTTATTTATTTATTTTCAATTTTATTTCATTCATTATCTATGTCTCGAGGGTTTGGAAAAAAAATTAATGATTTTAAATGTTCAACAAAGACAATAGACGCTCTCAACAGCTAGGTACCGCTCTTTTTCTAATTTATTTTAGCTCCTTCATGATTTCGTGTCGCAGTAAAAACAAAATGGTCGTCTCAGAGGAAGGAGAAGGACCTGCAACAACAGAGACTACTAACCCTCTTATTGTTCCTACCCGTCTGTTACGAGTCTGGGATGCCAGGAATCCTAAATATGAGGGATCCCCCAAAATAAATTAGATGGACAGGGCTTCCGCAAGGACCTCCCCCTCTTCCTGGTCAAGATAGATGGGAAGGAGTCTTATCTTGGAAAAGTCATAACCAGCCTCTTGGAACAACCCAACAGTCAAATATTTTCATAATGGTATGATATTGTAAACTTTTTAATAAGCCTTCATGGCTTTCTTCTCGTTTAACCCAAAATATCTCATACCAATAACATACTAAAAATTTAAATTATGAAAATATTTTTTCTAAATGGCCATTTCAAACTACTTAATGTCTTTTTCAAATGAATAAATAAATTATGCAAAAATATGGCTCGGGTAATTGTCTTTGATTTTTTTTTTTTAATAATTACTATTAGTCATCCTATTTTTAGAATGACCTAGTTTTTTAGAATAATTAAAAGTTTTATTATTTTAAATTTATTTTTTCTCTGTTTAAAAATAAAATGATGACCTACCTAAATATGCAAGAATATTATCTAGTGTATTTAACTCATATAACCAAGTAAAGCTCTCTAACTCTGGTTTAATTTCCTACTTTATTATTTTACAAATAAACAACTTTGTTTGAGCAAAGAATTGTGGCCAAAGGATCCAATGAATCTCTTCGTGAAGCGTGAAACTTGAGAGGGTGCTACTACACCTATTTTCGACTTGTACTAATTATTTGAGTATCGAAGTGCTCACTCTCTGTCTTGCATGTTTCACATGTTTCACTATTCACGAGGATATTCATTCAATCGTTTGGACAGATATTCTATGCTCGAACAAACATAATTTACCGTTTATGGTGATTCAACCATTGTGATGCATGTGAAAAAAAGTTGGTATCATAATGCTATAAATAGCACTAGTTCAGTAGATGCGTGATACCAATTGAGATCTCACAACCAAAGGTACCAAAGAAAAAGAAATGGGAAAGAGAGAAATTTTATTGGTTTTGAGTATGTTTCTAGCGATTTCAAGCTCAGAGGGCGTGAACGAATTCGATTACTACCAAGTCGTGCTTCAATGGCAACCGGCCACTTGTAGCAGTGCAACTCTAAAAACTGTATGCGTGCAACCTCCAGAAGATAGATATAGTGTCCATGGTGTTTGGCCTAGCCTATCGTCAGGATATCTTCCAACGTGTTCTGGTACTCCGCCCTATGATGCCAGAATGGTAGTCGTTCATATATCTTATAAATCTCGTTAGGTCCCCTAATCTTTTTAACGTGGGATGTTTATCAATCTAAATGTTTTTGTTTTGAAATTCAGATATTGACGATTCAAGCTAGGTTAGACCAAGACTGGCCAAACGTGATAACCGGACAAAACCCGCAGTTTTGGAGCTACGAGTGGACAAAGCACGGGACTTGTTCGAGCGCGTATCTGAACCAATTCCACTACTTCAATTTTGGACTATGGGTATATACCAATTACGATCTGCAATCTATTCTGTATCAATATGGTATCTACCCCAATGGACAACAATACACAAAAACAGTTGTCCAAAATGCAATTTATAGTGCAACGGGAAAGTGGCCAGCCCTTCGCTGCAACAACAACTACAGAACTGGTAACATGCAGTTGCATGAAATAAGTTTGTGTTTCAGCAAGAATGGACAGATTCTCATAGACTGCCCATTCAATGTCGTTACATGCAATGAATATTTCGTATGGAATTCATGGAGTTATTCAGCGAGTGTGGCTAAGGAGTAAAACTAATCACTGCCTTGAAACTGCTCTTACTACGAGGGTTAAGCTGTTGGAAGTTATGTTTCTTAATAAATATCTATCTTTAGTGTGTTTGTAAGATATGTTTTCTAATAATTGTCTACCTTCATCGTGTGTTTATGAGGGATAGATGGAACAAGTTGGTGTGTAATGCCGAAAGAAAGAACAATCTAATGAATAAGTTTATATCTTGGTTTCTAAATCTTTACTATTAAATTTTTTAGTTTAGACGGTTAGAGATATCCTATAAATGATTAAAATTTTCTTAATGAATCAGCTTGAGTTTTGGGCTTATTGGTGGTTTAATCATGGTGGTTTAATCATGTTTAAAATCATATATCATAGTAGGAGGTCTTGTGTTCCAACCATGTATTGTTATATTTGTTAAGTTTTTTTTGGTTGGCGGGTGGTTTAGTCCTCTTTAAAATAGACTATGGTAATTTGTAATAATGATGAGACAAATTGTTATATTGCAAAAATGTTCACATGCCATAATTTGAAGGATATTGCCAAACACAGTGGGGAAACTTCATGAACCACACATAGAGATAATACTGTGAAATAAATAAATAAAACATCCTAAAACAAAAATACTATACAGATGCTTAATTTTAGGAAACTTTTCAACAATAAATTCTAGCTAAAAAAATGAAGTTAAATTGTAAGGAGATCAATTGAATAAAATGGTAATGATAGTGGGTAGCAAAAATATTTTATGTATTTCACTAAATGTCACCAGTTTTTCAGATTTTAAAATATAGCAAAATATTTGAATTTTTATTTTCGGAATTTTTATTATTCCAATTTTACCCTTATGATATTTGATATAAATCCAATCTATATCTGATAATCTATATTTGTATCTGATATACATATGATGTATATCTGTATCTGATATATATGTAATCTATATAATGATGTATATCTGTATTTGATATACATCCAATCTATATCTGATGTACACTCGATGTATCTTTGATATACTCCCGGTAAACATCTAATATATCCCTGATATACATCTGATGTACACTTGAATCTGGTCAATACTAGGGTATTCATTAAAACGGATTAAACTTGTAATCAAGTTAAACTCTCTCAATCCAAATCTTACAAAGTTCCCATTTAGATTGAATATCAGTGCATCTCGTGGGCTCTGTAGACACCGTATTTGGTCCGAGCTTCATTTTAGTTTTATTTTTAATTATTTAATTTTTATTTTATTAAATACTATAGGATTACTTTATTATTGGTTATAGGCTAAAGTTTAAATTAAATTAAAAAAAAATAGATTTTGTTTTAAAGAATTTGATTTAATATTAAAATAAAAGAAATAAAAACATTTTATTTTATTTATATAATTTTGTTTTAAAGAAAGGGGTTTTAATTAAAAAAATTTAGATTCTGTTTTGGTTAAAAATAAACATTTGGTTTTTCCTCCTATTTTTCCTTCGTCAAAACCAAACGCTTTCCCTTCCCTCTTTTTCTCTGGTTTTACTTGACTCACGCATGTTAGTGTTATTTTTTTGGTATATTTAAAGGGCACACAACACACAGAGTGGAGGAGAAAAAAAAAACAGAGAGCACACAGAAAAATGATTTGGGTAAAGAAAATTTTTTATCTTTTATTTTTTATTTTTTCCCTTAGTCTCTAAAGGCGATTCAAAAGAACCAACACACAACAAGACTCCGGTGCACACCTCACGACCTCCATTGCTGCCTTGAGACCATCCTCTGGTGATAGACCGACGACGACGAAGAGTTCAGCGACCCACTCTAACACGACGAAGGACATCGTGGTAAAAATCTTTCCACAGTATACCCCTACATTTCTTTTAATAATAAAAAAAAAATTTCTTTTTAACAAAAAAAAATTCCTTTTAAAGAAAATAAACTTTTTAAAATAAGTTTTGAAAAATGATGTAGATAATTTTTCTTAAAGTAAAATAAAATAATTTTTAAATAAAGTAAACAAAAAGTTTATTTCATTTAAATAAAAGATTTTGCATTAAAGTTTTTTAAGTTAAAAAAAAATAATAAGAGTTTTTATAAACTAAATCTTGTTTAGAAATAAATTGGATTATTTAAAATTTCCATTCAAAGTTGTTAATTTTGTTTTCTTATTTTTTTTTTTAAAAAACAGAATTTCTGCTGCAGGGATTTAAAAAATAGATGATTTAAAGAAAATTGTTTTAAAATAAAATCTTATCTTGTAACATTTGTAATTTACAATAAGTTGTTAGGGGAATGAAATCTTTTTTTTTAAATGATGAGTATCATTTTAGAAAAGATCTTAACAATTTGTTTTAAGTAAAATTGATTTTTTTTTAATTAGAAATAAAAGGTTTTCTTGAAAAAATCTTTTTAATGTCAAAGTACATAAAAAAAAATTGTTTTAATTTAACAAAATTCGTAGGTTTTTTTTTTAGTTTAAAAAATAAATTAAAACTTTTGTTTTTGTAAAAGAGTACAATATTTACATCTAAGAGTGTTGACATAGTGGTAAGATGTTTGGCTTTTAATATACAAACCCAAGTTCGAGGATTTCGTTTAGAGTTTTGTTTTTAAACAAAATTCATAAATAGAAAATTTTGTATTTTAAAAAAGAACATGGCTTACATCCTAAGGTGGTGGCACATTGGTGAGATGTTAGAATGTCAACACTTAAGTCACGAGCTCAAGTTTCAATGAGCTTTAATTTACTCGAGGTGCTTAATTTTTCTAATGGCCTTATATGTAAATCATACTATATACACTCATATCAGTAGTTTCAGACGCTGTATATCGCATCTATATTAGATATACATATCAATAGTATATCACACACTCATATGAGTAAAAACCAAAACATGGTTGTTATTTTGCTATTTTTTTTAATCATGTCTCAAGTTCGCCCTAAATAAAATAACTCAAAAAAGTTACACCCTATATATTTTCAAATAAACTCGAGAGATACGAATTTATTTGAATTTAAGTCTTTTCAATTGAAATCCATAAAAAATATCAAAGGCCTATTTTGATCTAAGACCATGATGAACCTGAGATGGGTATTTTCAATAGGTAGAAATTGTTTCCCATGTTTACAAATATTGAACCATTTTATGATTTTGTAAATATGTCAAATTATTTGAATTGTTATTTTTGGATTTTTATTATTCTAATTTTACACTCAGATTATTTATCGTTCATTGATATACCAGCAGATCATATACCTTGATGTACTCTATACAAGGTATATCAACTATAACTGATATACCTTGATATACTCCAGACTAGGTATATAAGCTATAACTGATATACTTTGATGTATTCCATGGTGAGCAAAATACAATCCATGGATCTCATCAGTGTGTTTGGCTAACGGTAAATAGTTTGATAAATCACGAAACTTAATAGTAATTGTGTTATATTATTGATTTATAATCATTTTTTAGTCCATATTTTATATATATATATATATATCTTTTTGGTCAATTCAGGTTGATCAATAGTGTTGAATATCAATTAGTTGATAAAGTTGATAAATTTTTTTAAAAGTTGGATTTTAAAAGTTGGAGTTGTTTTGTTTGGAATTTGAATGAAATCAGTCGAGCTCATGCACTTGCTGTTATTTGTGGGCTTCATTTGTATTCATAATCATGTGTGTGAGTACTATATTTAGCTAGTAAAATGTCCCCACTTATAATGATTAAAGCTTCGATGTTGGTAACCATTGTGATTGAAGTTTTATAGAGATCGATATTAATCTATTACCTCCAATCGTTAATAGTCAAGTAAGAAGGCCGAAAAAATAGAGGATACCTTCAATTAATGAGGTGAGAAAGAACACAAAATGCAGCCGTTGTTAGCGTGTTGGTGAAAATCGTAGAAGTTGTAAATTTGCACCTATTAAACGATGACGTATATCATTTGTATTGGTAGTTAATTGTGATATAATTAGGCATAACAATGACCATGTATATCAAATACTACTTCTAGGAGTACATCAGAGGTATATCAGAAGTAAATCAAAGGTACATCAGATGTATATATCAGATATTTATTCGATGTATATAAGATACAGATATATATTGGATTTATATTAGATACACATATACATTAAATATATATCTGATATCATACGAGTAATATCAGAATAATAAAACTTCCGAAAATAAAAATTCAAATATTTTGCTATATTTGAAATTTTGAAAAGCTAGTGACATTTTTTGATATAAAATATTTAACTGGTGTACCTTAGTTGCAAAACAAGGAGGTATATCAGTTATAGCTCATATTCAGTATAGAGCACATGAAGATATATCAGTTGTAACTAATTTACCTACTATAAAGTGCATTAGAGTAAATATATATGTTATAACTTGTATATCTTAGCTGCAATACATCATGGTATATCAATTACAATCGATACCTTAAGGTATATGATTTATAATTGATATGTCTAGTATGGAGTACATTAAGATATATCAGTTATAAATTGTGTATGCGAATAAGATACATCAGAAGGACATCAATAAAGTATATTAATATTCATCAATAAGGTATATTAATATTAAATAAAGTACATCAATGGTATATACCGTTTATAATTGGTGTATCAACAAAGGTATATCAATAATGTATATCAATAATTGAATATGGTAAATCAATGGTATATAAAAAATCCAATTTATGTAGGATGAAAAAAAAAAATCAAAACCAAAGAAATAATTGTGTTGGGCTTGGGCTTATGGTAAATTCGACTCTTGCATGGGCTGGACTAATGCAAAATATGCTACTTTTGCAAAATTAGAATGTAAGTTGCTAATTTTGTAATTCTCTATTATTATTATTATTATTATTATTTGTTAAAGCAACCGCCCCTAAATAATTTATCAAACAACTAGATTTTGGTTTAAAAATTGAACTTAGCATAACAAGCATGTTTCTTCATTAATAAGAGCATTCCGTTCATTCCATATTTATTACTTTTTCCATCTTCAAGCTATAACCTTAGCTAGCTGCAATTCTATTTAACCATCTCTGAACGACTTTCATAAACAATCTTGGTTGGTAAGGATAGAAACATCTCCACAGAGCAAGACTTGTGGATTTTTATTTACATTTACAAATGAATGCATATATGGAACAAATTTTTGTGTACAATACAAACAAAGCTCGGTAG